TATATATATATCCATCCAAAAGCATTGCCTGTGCTATATATTAACTGTTGGAAGAGATAAGAAATTAAACACTATCCTATATCTATCTATGCTCTTAAAAAAGATAATGTCCTACGAAAGTATGTGAGCCATTGTCTTTTCGAAATTCAATAACTGTAAACGCAATATGAATGGAATCAAAAGAAATTACTACTATATATTGATTTACCCTTTGCTGATATTTGTTTCACTATTTCTTTTTCTCTTTACATGTATATCGCCTACTAGGTTTTGTGAAGTTGTACAATTCTTCGGTAAAGACCTAACAAGTTACTGCTACAAACAACAAACTAATACAACATATCAAAATTACCATGTGATTCGTTATATATAGGTGGAATTAGACGCAGAGATACGATAGCCACTCAGGCCCATAATTTAAAATTAGTTAAAAAAAATTATTCAAAAAAGAAAAAAGCAGGATGTTTTGTGCAGATGAAGTGTGATTCCAGGGTAAATTTTTTTGTTTCCCACCCCATTTCCGCCACCTGCTTTAGGGCTCTGAACTAAATGGGAAGCACTTTAATTTTTACTAAGATTTTTTTTATCCGCAACGACTAACTCGAAACTTTTAATTAAGGGTAAAAGAATTTATTCATCCCCATAATTTTAATGAATTATAAAAACAAAAAGCTGGAGCTTAGCTATCTCGGGATTGGCCAGATGGAAGTATAGTTGGCGACATGGGCAGATGTAGTATACGATCCATAGCTAATTGATGTGTTTGGCTAAGCTTGACCTATCTATATAATTGAATAATTTAAATACACACGACACAGACATCTATTCTAAGATTGCCACGACAGATAATAATAGTACTATATAATGATATTTCATAGTATCTTTAATCTATAATTTTAAATCCGTCTCCAATTAAGATGTTTGATCATAAAACTAGTAATATGTTCCATCAAGAAGAGTCTATTCATATATAGACAAGGACCAACATTTGTGATGGGATAGATAAATCCCTCCGTTCATAATTAGGAATCCAGAGTTCGAGCTGTAAATATAAAATATCTTGATACAAATTATTTTCTCCTTTAATAGGGTTACGAGACGTGAGTATAAATTAAACGGGTCCTCAATACTAATATTGGACATCAAACAAGGACCATGGGCGGATCCAATCCTATAGTATTGGGTTCATTTGAACCCAATACTTTTAACACAAAGCATGTATTTATGTGTAAAATTCATTAGTATTATAACAAATAATGGACAGAAACTCATAACTTTAAATATATTGTATGTGTTTAATGATAAAAATCTTAAATATTAAATCCATATAATTTAAATCTGCGTCTGCGAAGGACCACCTGAAATGAAGACAAAAACAAATGGATGGAACTATGACAGCCCTATATAGAAGTGGTAGTTGGCATGCATGGGCATTGATTTGGCACAAGTAAGATAATAGAACAAAAGAGAACTAGAGTAGTAGCTAAATTGTTAAAGTGAAATGTAGAAAGAGTATGGAAGTCACATTTATTACTACTTTTTAAAGGTCATTTTGCTGTTGGCTTGATGTGGTATGTCTGTTACAATGTTATATTCCCTCTCAACCACTTCTTTCATTGCTTGACTTATTATATTGTTTTGTATATCCGGAGAGAGGTCATTTTCTAATCTGTTATATATCATATATTGTCCTTGCGTCTAATAATTTGTATGTGTGTTATTATGATCAAACAATTCATCTTCTTAGGATTGTTCATTTTGTACCTTTTAGCATTTGAAACTATTATAGATACAAGCATTTACCCCTCTCAAGGCCAAAAAAAGAAGAAAAAAAAGAAGGAAATAGTTCTGCATGGGTCGAAATCTACCACGGAATATTTAGGGCGAGGAAGTATCGAGGAAAAATCAGTCGAGGTCGATCAAAAAATGGCGAAGCTTCTAGTCAGGATGCCTATGATGATCGAGGACGAGGTCCGCGGAAAGAATCGTTAGTTTTTAGAATACGATAATAGAGGGGATATTCTAAAGAATATTCTCTGTACTATTTGTCACTACTAAAAAACAGTATAATTTCGTTATTTCCGACCGAATTCCGACCGATTTTAATTGGTCGGGAAAACGATGGTCGCAAATGTGTACCGACCGAAATCGGTCGGAAATTTCCGACCTAATTCGGTCGAAAACATCAACGCGTTGACTGACTATCAAACTTTAATTTGCGACCGAAATCGGTCGAAAACAATTAAATATTTTTTTTTTTAATTTTTAAATTTCCGACCGAAATCGGTCGAAAACTATTAATTTTTTATTTTTAAATTTCCGACCGAAATCGATCGGAAACTATTAATATTTTTTTTTATTTTTTTTTATTTTTCGACCAAATTCGGTCGGAAATTTTAAAAATAATAATTGTATTTAATTAAATAATTAGTTGTAAATTGTAATAAATTATTAATTTATTTTAAAAAATAAATATAAATTCATAATTTCCGACCGAATTCAGTCGGAAATTATGAATTTCTGGGCAAAAAAAAATTAATTTCCGACCGAATTCGGTCGGATATCTGGTAAAACCTGGACATAAAATACCTATTTTTGAGCTACACCACCTACCAATTACAACCAATATCCATCCTATAATGGCAGCATTACATTGCTGCCATTCAACCATAATTAATCAACAACAATGAATATACTAACAACAACAATAACAACAATAATTAACTAACAAAAACTATTAACTTACACTAACAACCATTATCTAACAACAACTACTAAAATGTTTAATAACAAAATAACAATATAATCATCATTCAAAATTACTCTCAACTAAATATTGACAAGTTCAATACTTTGTTTAGCAATACACACCATTCAATGAGTTTTTTTTATCTAGCATCATCTCTATCTTCACTCCTAGAACCTTCATCGTCGGCACATGGGGAAGGATCACGAGACCGGGGAATGAAAAAGGCACCACTAGCAAGAAGATTGGCCAGCTGACCTTGAAGGAGATTAAATTGTTCGTCCTTCCTTTCTAGTTGAACTTGAAGGGTACCAAATTGTTCATCTCTCGTTTTTTCTCTAGCCTTTGTCTCTTCAAGCTCTGCTGTCAGCTTCGCGATCTTATGTTCCATAGACGATATAGTCGACCTATCAATCGCCTCGCCTTGGGCGGAAGTCCCCATACCTTGCAATCCAGCCTTGTAGCGCCGAAATGATTTATCTGGAAGGCCGTATGCTATCCCCTTTTTAGGACCATCGACAACATCCAACCATATCCTCTGCGCTTCTTCGTCTAAAATGGGCGGGCGGTCGCCTTGCTCATTCCGTGGCAAGCTCTGAGTGTACTCCTCCAAATTAATCTTGTAGCGACCCTTTATTTAGAAGATAGAAAATTACTAACTATTTAATATTATAAACATTTATAGTAGTTATGAAACTTACATGTGTAGTCTCTGCCCGGTCCTCGACCCATCTAGTTGGATCTATCGGTGCCTTCTTCTTCCGGATGTGAGTCTCCATGAACAACTCATCATGACTCATCTTCCTCCCATATTTTTTTCCTACAAATATAATAAAACGTGTTAACAAAATTAACATATATAAATAAAGTTCGATAAAAATAGACCGAAATATTTTAAGGAATTACCATTTGTCTCCTCGTATCCCCCATGCTCCTTGAACCCAGACAGTGCAAGGAGCCACCCTTCTCAGATGCTCGGGCCTTCTTTCCCAGTTCACTCTGCTTCTCGAATTTCTTGGTGGCCCAATACCTTTGCAGATCCACCCATACATCCGGTAGAACCCATGAAGGCTTCTTTTTAACCTTTCGAGCGGAGCTAAAGGAATCAGAGAGTCTCTTACGGCATTTGTACTCCCAATTTTTACAAATTTCACGGTTATACCAGTCCTTCCAGGCACACTTAGTCTGCAAATAAAGTATGTAATGTTAGATGAAAATATTGTTAATATAATGCTTAAATAGATAAGAATTGTATTAAAACCTTAAATTGGTTGAACATCTGTTGCACAAGATCCTCTGGAAAGTCACTCCAAGTTGGATAGGGTGCATTATACAACCCGCCAAGAATATTAGTGATTATCTTTGTAACCTGATGATTAGGAATGAACCTGCAACATAGAAATTACATTAAATAAACAAGAGTAGCTATTATAATTCAGCAAAAATAAAGAAGTAATAAATAAATCTTACCCATTACCCTCAGGCCTGATGATGATCCTATGATAACGAGCATAACGCACATCATCTGGATCATCATCCTCCGATGAATCTGAAGTGTGCGCAGAAGGGGGGGCATCTGGCTCAGTGCTACTATCCCGAAGACGAAGTCTAGAAATGCTAGGAGACGAACTCCGTGGAGAGGGAGACGGGGTCCTTGATGAAGATGGCTGCAATCCACACCCCTGCATCGATCTAGACCCTTGTTGCGATCCAGACCACTGTTGCGATCCGGCCGGCTGAAATCTAGATGGATGCGATCCGGCTGGAGATAAAGCAAATGGAGCAGATGACGGGCGTACCATATGGCTCTGTGACTGGTGACTCGATGCACCCATGTTAGTACTGGTAGGATCATGAGGAGGAAGCGGGGTATAGCCCTGTGGCGGAGAATGGTGATAATACTGCTGGGCGGGCGAATGGTGGGTAGTATGATGAGTAGATGGATGTGGTGAAATAGATTTGTGCCTAGAAGATTGCTTCCGGCCATCAGCAGCAGAGGGATGCAAGTGTGGAGTGGAAGGAAGCGTGGGTGTAGCACCATCATCATGATCAATAGGCCTTTTATCCTTCCTAGACCTACCTCGACCCCTACCGGCCATCTGCATAAATTAAAGAACATGTTAGAATTGAGAATATAAATCTATATAAGTTGAGAGCGCTTGAAAAAACTAACATGCTAGTTGTCTTTGTCGACGTATCCTTCCTCGTCTGAAAATCCTTCCTCTTCACTTATTTCATCCTCATTTTCTATGATTGTTATTTCCTCCATATCAACTTCTTCTAATATGCGTTGAGGGTGCTCCAAGTAATTTTCTAACTGATCATCCACCATTTGGTTAACACTTGAGGTATCGTTTTGGTAAGCAACATCTAGCACATTCTCAACTTCCACCCTACCAACAGGCTTTGTTTTTATTACAACCAACCAATCAGCCTTATCCCTCCATAATGGATATGGAGCATAGTACACTTGCCTAACTCTTTCTGCAATTATAAAAGGATCATAGTGATCATACTCCCTCTTTTTATTAACCTCAATTATGTTGTACTGCGGGTGTACATTTGTACCTCTTCTAGGTGTTGGGTCAAACCACTTGCATTGAAAAAGTATGATCTTCTTATTTGGCCAGCCTGAATATGACAATTCTAGAATCTCTTTGATCATACCATAATAATCATTTTTCCCATCCTGGTTTTCTTCATCACCTTTGACACACACCCCACTGTTATTGCTTTTTTTATACTTGGATCATTCCTCAGTGTGAAATTTGTAACCATTCATATAATACTTAGACATAGTCGTAACCGTAGGTGCAGGTCCCCAGGATATGTCTTTCAAAAATTAATTAACATCGTTGTTTGAATTATTGACCTACATGTAGGGGTAAATAAATCACAAGTGAGCAAGTATATTTACAAGTATGTATATTCACATGTGAGAAAGTATATAAGATGCACTTACACACTCTTTAAACCATGCCTCAAATGTAGAATATACAGCACCATGACCAAGTTGACTCACGAAGTCACTGAGTGACGCATTGAAAATTATTTGTTAGTTGTATCAACCAAATTAAATAGTAGCCCATGTAAATTAATCTTACGTCAACACTTACTTAAGAAAGGGTTGAACTTCCGGACAATTTAGCAACACATGATTTGAAGCTGATTTGTACTCCATACTACTTAGGCCTCTTTTTGTTCGATCTTTAGAACCCCGGTCTGGTTGATTAAATACGGACATTGGTGGATATAATGGATCAATCTCAATCACCACATTGTGCCGATTGGGCCTATTTCTAGCACATGGCACATGACTGTCAAAGTAGTAAGAACAAAAATAGGCAGTTTTCTTTGCAAGATAGGCTTCGCATATGGATCCTTCAATCCTATTCCTCTGTTTAACAAATCATTTACACTTGCCGATAGTCCTGCACATTTTTATATTAGACGATAACGTTAAAAAAAATTACAAGAATAAATCAAGGTTTGATCATTACCTCTCGAATGGATACATCCACCTGCATTGAACCGGGACTCCAAGTCGCGCCTCATGTACAAGGTGAATTGGAAGGTGTTCCATCACATCAAAGAAACCACATGGAAAAATCCTTTCCAGCTTATTACTGATTACAGGAATATTCCAATTCATTTGCAATAGGGTTTCTTCCCTTAATGTGGTAGAACATAAGTCTTTGAAGAACAAACTTATCTCTGTGATGGGTTTCCATATATTTTCAGGCAATCCACAAAATGCAATTGGGATTAAGGTTTCCATGAATATATGACAGTCATGACTTTTCATATGAGTCAGCTTTCCCTCAACCATATCGACACGTTTTCCCAGGTTCGATGCATAGCTCTCGGGCATCTTTTGGTTTGTAACCCACTCACAAATCTGTCGTCTTTGTTCCAAAGTGAATGTGTAGCTGGCCTTGG